GTCGATGTTGTTGCGGTGTCTGGTGTATACGCAAACAATGATGCGGTGTCACTTTGCATGATCGGGAAATGTTTGTTGATTACGGGATTACGAAATGATTGGATTGCTGGGTGCCTGTCTCCGCCACATGGAGATTTTGTATAAAAGACTTGAACCTCATTTTTGCATAGGAGTCGGGCGACGGATACGTGTACGACCAGGCCCCTCGTGTGCGCACGTGTAAGCACGATCCAACAAACGCAGCCTACACGTGTTCACACGCGGGCGGTTCGCGATCACTGGATGGACTTGGCACTTTCAGTATTGGGATGGGTACGGAATTTCCCCTTAGCGAGAACTTAAGCCAGTGGGGATTTCTGCGACCGTACCCGGAATCCGCTTGTCAGTCGGAGAACGATCGGGTGTGCGCGGAGGACTTCCACTACACCACTACTAACGACCCACGGGGTCCTGACTACCCGGAGGCCCGTCACATGCACTATTTCATATCCCCCGGCTTCGTCGCCGTCTCCACTAATTCCCCTCCCTTCCGCCTCAGTCTCCCGTATCATCGGCTTACAGTAGTACCGTGGGACTCCGTAGCCCCGTACTGGCCCCACGCGCCGTGCAGAAATTACAGACAGCGCGACAACCCCCGAACCTCTGGAGTTACCCAGCGTAACCGCAACGCGTTGTGCCAGCCGCCACGCGTCCTTGAAGAGGCCGGAATCCCCACGACGGACCCTTTCTCGTACTAAAGCCACGAACCGACAAGGGTGGATAGGGCGGCCCAAGATGCACTACGTATGCCATCCGCCTTATGTTGCACGACATCTACGACCTTCGGCTCAAGAACAACCTTTCCCTTAACCTTACAGACGAACCCGTCTCTTATTGCACCTATACCCCTGAATCCTGTCACGGGAGATCTAAGTTCCGACCTGGGACTCCATCCCAAATTTCCAAAAATCCTTGGCACACCCCTTTTCGCACTTCCAGGCCCACATCCCACTCTGATCAGGAAGTCGCGTCGGGCGTGAGGTTGGTATCGGAGCCGACACGTGGCAAGGTTATAGGATTTGTAGGATGATAATTGAGATCGAAGCGATCTGGCTAACAGGGGACGACCTCGACCCCGGAACGCACATCGACGCGACCCCGTCATTACAAGAAGCCGATCTGCGGCTCGGCGGGCGGTCAACATGAACGCCAATCAATAAAATCCGAACCCACAATAGAACTCCAATCAACAGCCAAATCCTAATCAATCCGTACCACGAGCACGGGCACCTGTAGCCCCACCCGATTTCTATCTGTACGATCCCGCTCACCACCTTGCTAGAGCATGGCTGGCCACGCTCCGAGCTCAGCTGTACGATGACAACGAGGCACAGATAATCATTCCTGCCCGATTGGGGGGAGACGCTCATCATTGGTTTAGCACCTATATATGGGTTGATCTCCCGACATTCGAGCGAGACTTTCTGAACCAATTCGATTATATCCATCCGGAATAGGCTATTTTTATGATTAAAGATCGAGTCCAAAAGCCCCTCGAGTCTGTCACCGAGTACCGAAACCGATTTGATCGAATGTTTGTGAAAAACGAATGAGGCGATCAGGTAGGTAGAGATTTGTTTATCGATGGACTTCACAGCAGAGCGATGAGGGCGGAACTGCGAAAACAGTTCTCCCCCATCAATCACACGCTGCAACAAATCATGGCTGCTGCAGAAGAGATGGAGCGAAAATTCGCCGCTAGTTTTCTAGAAGGAGAAGATTATCCAAGGGAGGGAGACTCGTCCGAACTAGCAAGAGCTAAAGCTGAGCTGGCTGCACTGCAGAACAAGTTTGAAAACATGGGGTTTTTGTTTGGCCCTGTCACCTATCTGGAACAGATTACCCCCAAACGACCAGCCCCGAGTGTGATTACGGGCATGCCTGTTCCCGTGATGACAGCACCCCCACCACCGATCGAAAATCCCGCACGATCGAATGAATCAACCGCCATATTGGAACTGACCAAGACACTAATCAATCTGATCCAGGAAAGTAAGAAGAAACAGCGAGAGCACAACGCTCGGATAGAGGCTATGATGAGAGCAATGCGACCGATAGCTGTACGAGCCGCCCCAATCCAACAAGGGCTGACCCCAGCACCCGCTCTCGGAGGGGCCGCCAGTAATTTGAACGTCCGTTATACGTGTCATGAACCTGGGCACATAGCCCGAGACTTCCCCCATCGACCCCCACAACTACGGGTCAGGTTCGCACCGGTAGCAACAGCCCCTATTGCTAACGGACCGGGATGAGTAGGAGCGTTAATGGAAGAAATGGAAGGAGGTGGAAGCGCGTTAGCTACGACGGAAGAAGTTATTGAGCTCATTCCGTTGGATCAATACGTAACTCTTGGTTATCCGGGATTGGGCATGATTGGAACGATCAGACCAGCCCCTGAACGAAGGGAAGTGGCGGAGTGGAGACCTTCTCCAGGAGAAATGGAGTCGGGAGGGAGGACCCACCTTCGTCACCGAGGAAATCGACGTTTCAAACATCGTCCGGGCATTAGATCATCGGATTCCTCTTCCGATTGGTCATTTATTATGGATATCAGAACAGGCCAATGACCACATGCTGCAACACTATAAGGCGAACCGAAAGCGATTCGTCCTCGCTCGGACAGCAAACACGAAAGGAAAAAGTCCAATACAAGACGAACACGCTGCTGGTACTTCAGACCCGATACGTTTAGGACTAATCCAGAAAATTAAAACGATTCCGTGGAAATCCGTAGAATGCGACATCGAGGTATGGGGAGTCCTGTACAATCCCATTATCAATTCCGGAGAAGGGCTGGCTCCTGCACCCACTCTCAGGGGGGCCGCCGGTAATTTGAACGTCCATTACGCGTGTCATCAACCTGGGCACATAGCCCGAGACTGCCCCCATCAACCCCCACAACCAGGGGTCGGAGCCGCACTGGTAGCAGCAGCCTCTATCGCTAACGGACCGGGACGAGTAGGAGCGTTAATGGAAGAAATGGAAGGAGGTGGAAGCGTGTTAGCTACGATGGAAGAAGTCGCTGAGGTCATTCCGTTGGATCAGTACGTAACGCTTTGTTATCCGGGATTGGGCATGATTGGAACGATCAGACCCGCCCCGGAACAAAGGGAAGTGGCAGAGTGGCGACCTTCTCCAGGAGAAATGGAGTCAGGAGGACCCACCTTCGTCATCGAGGAAATCGACGTTTCAAACATCGTCCGGGCATTAGATCATCGGATTCCTCTTCCGATTGGTCGTTTATGATCGATATCAGAACAGGTCAACGACCGCATGCTGCAACACTGTAAGGCGAACTGAAAGCGATTCGCCCTCGCTCGAACAGTACACACGAAAGGGAAAAGTCCAATACAAGACGAATACACTGCTGGTACTTCAGACCCGATACGTTTACGATTAATCCAGAAAGATAATCACTTCCTACGGATTAAAACGATTCCGTGGAAATCTGTAGAATGCGACATCGAGGTATGGGGAGTCCCGTACAATGTCATTATCGATTCCGGAGCAGTTGTCTTAGCTATCTCACTACGGGTAGTCGAAAGAGCAGGGAGAAAGAAAGATCTGATTATGCTTAAGAAAAAAGATCAGCTCATTTCAACAGATGAGGAAAAGATCAAAACAGTGGGACGAATGACCAACGTTGCTTTTCGATTGGGAAAGGTGCATGCTCTGGGAGATGTCGTAGTATTAAACGTGAGCACTTATGACGTTCTTTTGGGCCTACCCGCTCTTATGGCTCTGCGAGCCAACCTGGACTTCGAGAGATGATCAATTATCCTCCAAAATACGGGAGGAAAACTGTACGCCATACCCATGAGACTGACCCTTCGTACCACAACTACTGTAGCCCCTCGAGTTTTGCCAGTGGTGGCAGGAACTCTCCTCATGATCACTTGGGAAGGCCCCGCGGACGATGAGCAATCATCGGATGATGCAGACAGTAATGATGAGGATGATGAGGTGATTCTGGAACTGCAGTGGCGCAACAGCGCATCTATTACCCTGTGCAACGAGCGAGCGTGAGACCCTTGAGCTTAACCGATCGAAACTTACAAAGAATGCAAACGATGATTCTGGGTGAACATCTCGTACAGATATCACGGATGGTCGATTCTTTGGAACCCCCTCGAACCCTGTACGAAGGCATCTCCCCTCTTCTTGCACGATACAATGACAAGAGACACTTTTGCGACAATACGAACCTGCCATGATCTCTTTTGTCACCCGCGAAAGAGATACGGTTGCTACGTTTAGGGGGGAGGCCAATTCTTTGGAACCCCCTGAGTGCCTCAAAACCGGATCCAACGGTCTTGGAATAAAAATCGCGACAAGACCAGTGTCGTAGCAGGATATTCACGATGGCATGACCTCGGAAGAACAAGTGGCAATACGGAAAGAAGACGCGCAGATGATGGCTACAGTGTTTTCCTGGTGATCGGATAACTCCATCTCCGCACCGCCTCCCGAAAACACCAAACGAGTAAGCACCAAACAGATCGACGTGCAAATATGGAACCAGTCGTACGAATTGCACGTGCCCCACTACGTACCTAACGAGATTCATTACCTAATCACGAACATTCTAAAAGAATATCAGGGAGCGATTAGCGTGATTGACACATACATTGGATTATCGTTAGTCATACAACACAAAAGTTTGACCGAAAATCATCCTCCCATCCACTGTAAACCCTACAGGTATTCCCTGGTGGAACGGAAGACAGCCCTCCAGCGGATTCGAGAGTTCGAAGCTAGCGGATGGATCAAGCCCGCTACTGGGCCATGGTCGTTCCCGGTAGTGCTAGTGCCGAAGAAGAATGGGTCGATTCGCATCTGCATCGATTATCGCAAACTGAATGCTATCATGATTAAAGATGTGTATCCCCTTCCCCTGATTGATGATTTGCTAGATGCGATTGGGTGTGCTAACTATTTTAGCAAGTTTGATATTCGACACGGCTTCATCAAATGCTGGTTAAGGAAGAAGACCGACCAAAAACGGCCTTCGTGTTGTTTGAAGGCACGTGGCAGTGGGTTCGGTGTCCTATGGGGATTTGCAATGCACCTGCTACGTTTCAACGGGCTATGAACGTGACCTTTCAGAACTTCGTCAACAAGACGCGACTAACTCAGGGGATGATCAACTTTTGCGTCATCGTGTACATGGACGACATTCTGGTCTACTCAAAGACCTATCACGGATATGCACAGCGTATTGAGTGGACGTTGGGAGCTCTGAGAGACGATGGGTTCAAGATCGCGTTAGAAAAGAGCGAGTTTTTCCTCTCGGAGATCTCGTTTTTGGGTTACGTGGTGACACGGGGAGGATTACGGCCAGATTCAAGGAAGGTCGCGGCTGTGAGAGACGCCCCTGTTCCCACATCACTGACGCAACTTGAAGTTCGAGCCTTTTTGGGACTGGCGTCGTACTACCACCGATTCATCAAGGGTTTTGCAGCGATTGTGCGGCCCCTAACGAACTTGTTACAAAAGGAGCAGCCCCTCAGTTGGGACGACGAATGCGAACAGGCCTTCGCCACCCTCAAAGACGCTTTGGCTACAGCGCCTATTTTGATCCGACCGGACCCTACGAAGCAGTTCATTCTCATTACGGACAGGCATCCGGAGGCGATTTCCGCTATTTTAGCGCAGAAGGGGAACGACAGTCGTGAACACGTCATCGAGTACGCATCTCGTACAGTGCCAGACAAACGAAGGAACGATTCGGCCCCGCAAGGCGAATGCTATGCAGTGGTCTGGGGAATCCAACACTTCCATCCGTATCTCTACGGACAGAAGTTTCTTCTTGTGACTGATCACGAGTCACTGCTGGCTCTCAAGAGGATCACCAATTACACGGGCATGATTGGGAGTTGGGCAGTGCGCCTACAGGAGTACGATTTCGACATCATCCATCGAAAGACGGAGAGGCACGGGAACACGGACGGATTGACACGTCTGCACCGACCAGCTAAGGTACCTAAGGGCGAGGAAATCATCTTGTGGAAGGAACCGGAATCAACAAACAGACCCAAGTACAGACAGGTGACAGTTCTTCCATGCGACAAAAAACAGGCACGTGGCGATGGGGGACGGAGGTAACTCTACGCTCCCCTCTCTCCCCTCTTGTCTTCATCTTTTCTCTCTCTACCTGATAAATTTTGTTATTTTTGCGAAGCGATCTCGCACGTCTACTCTGTCCCTATGCTTCCTAGCGGGGAAGGATATGTCGAATGGGTGGATTGCCGACAGTGTGTTGCAAGAGCCCATGGCTCTTGCATTCAGTACAGAAATAGCGACAAGCCTTGGTTGTGCCCCTTATGTCGAGTCGATAAGATCCCAACCGAGGCTCGATTCCTCGATGCCACGTCAGAAGGGTTAGAGAAGACCCAAAAATTTAGAAGGGCCGAGGTATGGATGGATATCGCTTCAATGGCCACTTTGGTAGGCAACACCCTCCACGACTTCACTAAGGAGGATCGGAGGAGGGTCAACGAAAGGGATCGGGATTATCGATGGAATGAGGGTCGTTTAGAGAAACGGAAGACGGACGGTAGTGGGATTTGGATGGTAGTACCACACCCATTCATGAGGTATGACTGGGTTAAGCCGGCGCACGAAGAAACTGCATCCCATTTTGTTGTCTGAATCACGGATTACGAAGCGGCAATCGACAAAAACGAGTGGTATTGGTCCAATATTCGCGACGATGTTAAATTCATCGTTCAAAACTGTCAGGTCTGCGCTGCCGATAAGGTGCCAATTCAGCCGCCGAGATCGATAGTGTCGACGGTAATTGAACGACCTTTCCAGAGAATTAGCATGGATACTACCGATATTGTGGTGCCCCGTGGACCTAATAGCTGTGAATATTCAATCCTACTGGTATTCGTAGATCACTTTTCGAAATGGATCGAGGCATATCCATGTCGTACACCACAGGCGGCTGGAAAGAAAAAAAAAAAAAAAAAAAAAACGCGCAATACGTCAACCATTTTTTTGGGAATGCATCAAGATACAAAGGAGATCCTGACCGATAACGGTGCGGAATTTAGAGGGAAAGTTCTGAGGAATCTGGTCATACACGGCGTCGCTATTCGAAATACTGCACCCCACATGTCACAGTCCAACGGGCTGGTAGAAAACGCGAATTGGGTGATTAAGACTGCACTGCGACGAAACATCGCGGCACGGGATCCAAGGCCCTGGCCTGATATCGTAAACCACATCCTAGCGGTCCATCGAAGAACGCCTCACGAATCGACGGGTCTGACCCCCTTTCAATTACGGACCAATAGTGTAGCTTGTGTTTCGATAGCAAACCTTCCCGACGAATCTACGTTGAACCGATGGCCTACGAGGGCCACAGCCCGGGACAAAGCCAAGCGACACATGGAGTTAATGGAGCAGTCCCTTCCCTGATTAGCCTGAAAGCGCCAACGAATGACCGAATTGGCTCATGGCCGACAGGTCCGCAGTTACAAGGCCCGAACTGGGAACGCGGGTCCACGGCCCCAGGACAAATTAGGGGACATGGTGTAAGTAAGGAAATGTGCTCGTCAAGGGAAGATGGCGCCACGATTCTTCGGGCGATTCCGTGTGATCGAGCTCGGCCCAAACGGAGTGAACACCGTACAACTTGTGCCGGAGGTCTCGGGCAGCCGATTGGCTCGACCGATTATCTGCCACGTGTCCTATCTGCGTCCTCTCCCTTCCTCTCCATCTCCACCTTCGCCTGCTTCCTCTCACGATACCAGGGAAGACGACGACGGCCTAGCCTTTCCTTCTCTGTCGATGGCCTAGCCTTTCCTTCTCCATCTTTCTCTCCTTCCGTCAATCCGTTCCCGCCACCATCGCCATGAGTTTTTTTACTGAGCAAGTTCTTAGCAGGCATATGCTGGCGCCACGAGGCAATATCTCGGCAATCAGATAGGTGTATCATCCGTGGATTAGTCCGGACGTCCTTCGATTTGCACAATTTTTCAGCACCACCAGGGTGTAGGAGGCAGCAGAGTTTCTTTTTGTGGCTCACAGCCAGGCGCCGGTGTTAGCCGAGGCGTCGGCCTATCGACGACTTTCAACGTCAGGAACCTGCCACGTATTGACGGTGGTCTTCTTTAGTGGGGACATCAGCGTGGTGGACTCCACGGCGCATATAGCCATCTTGGTGTCACTGAGGGAGTGGGGGGAAGAGTTGGCAAGGGCGTGGAGCCGATTGCTTGCGCGGCGCAGGGAAAACATCATCAATACAGATAGTGTTGACGTCGGCAGCATTCGCACCCGCCCGCACGAGCCGGGAGTTGTCCTTCCTGCGCTTGTCCCCTTCTCGCGCCCCCAATGAACCGCTCTTACTTCTCCACCTTCAGTCTGAGACTCCCCTCTGTCTTTCCCACCTTCTGGCAGCCAGCCATCCATCCCCGCCTCTTCTTCTACATACGGCCGCTTTCTGTGCCACTCGTCAAGCCGCTGCCAGTGGGAAATTTTGTGTGAGCATTACTCTACTCTCTCGCTGTGCCCGGTGGAGGTAGATCTGACGTGGACTCGGGATAGTGAGCACCGTGCTGGGAGAGAGGGTGTAGAACTGCTGATCATCCAGGCTTGGAGGACGGAGGTGGAGGGAGATCTTCTTAGGTTTGTCTTCGGAGCAGTGGAGCAGGGCCATCGACAAATGATCGTGTGGGAGCTCTGGGTCCCTTTTGCACAGCTGTTGGATGACCTTCCCCTCGACATCGTGTCACATTGCGACGAGAGTTCGGTGCCGCATGTTCTTTCACGGAGATTAACGCCGTATTTGCAGTGGTCAGCCTGCTTGGAGGATCGAACGGGAGGTGGTAGCTACCCGTCGCGGACGGAGTATTTGAATCCCCGAGCGATAATCGACATCCTCTTCTTCGAGCCTCGGACGGCGTCCGAAGATGAAGCGGTAGAGGCAGACTTTGAGGAGGAAGAAGAGGAGGACGAGGAGGAAGAAACCCCTGAAGAAGGGAGTTATAGTGAGTACAGTGAGCAGGAGTCCGAGGAGGTGAGCGAAGAAGAAGAAGGAGAAGAGGGAGAACAATCCGAGTGGGAGAGTTTGGGAGAAAAGGCCAACCAGTCGGAAGGCCACGGGGAGGATCCGGTGGAAACTGAGCGAAGAAGGGAAGAGATAGCAGCCAGGAAGCGGCCGTTGGAGCATTCAAGCGGCACCGATCTGCCAACCCCGGACGACCCGACCAGAGATCCTGAGCTGCCCGAGAGCGAGGATGGGCTCCCTCCTGCAGGGACTTCGAGCACGCCGGTACGAAGGCGACGAAGCCGATCCCCCTCCCCATCCCCCCGTCCCCCAGTTCGAACACGTCCCGATGCGGGGCATCGGGCTTTGTCCCCGGTTATTATCCCGTCGTCCCATTTACCATCTTACCCTCCGACAGATCACCGGCCCGCTCTCCTTCCCCCACAACCCCTTTTCGACTCCTACCTTCCATCACTTCTACGCCACTCGCCTCGCCGCCACGGTATACCCGCACCCCACCACCCGATGCGCCGTCCCCTCCTTTTGCCTCCATATCCTCCTTTTCAGCGCCGCGTGGCGAGGATACAATATGATCGAAGTCTATTGCACGATCACGGGGACAATCCCCGCGTGGGAAGACTACGATCAGTTCCGCGCGGCCCTTCTTCGCACCTTCCTTTATCCCGACTATCTTGCTTCTCTTCCTCATAGCGGTATCTACTTCCCCCGCTTTCATCGAACCATTCGATATCAGGAGCTTCCGATGACGGCAGTGGGAATGGAGACCTTCTTACCCCCGCTCCCGAATGACCCTCCCCCTCGCCATCCTCCCATGTACCATCTTCCCTTTCCTCTCCCTGCTGGGCACTAATGTGCGATTGCCTGTCACGTGTCACGAGCCCTTCCCCGAGAATGAGTAGGATAGAGCCCACATGTGCCAAACTGGATGACTTCCACACTCTTATCGTACGGTAAGTGGCAACGAAAAGAGATCCGCGTGTCGATCGATTAGAGAGATCGACACGTGTCGAAAAGTCGCGCAAGCAGGAGCTTGCTCAAGCTTGGACCCCCCTGGGCGTAACATATGTGGCGGACCAATTTCTGTTCCACCCGACTTTCTGCGCGATGATAAAAGGGGTCTTTTGCATTGGGGAAAGTTCAAGTTGGGCCAATTACGGGAGGTGGGATCGACGGGAAAATTGCATCGGTGTCCTCGTTTCTTCTTCTTTTTACGTCGCTGCTTTTCGGATTGCTGGGGCCAGGGCTGGGCAAGTCCCGAGATGGATGGTTGAGTGGCGCTCCGCCGCCCGCGCGCTTAATAATGGTTGACGTAGCTTCCTTCTTGTTCTGCTGTTCGGTTTTCGTCGTGATGATCGTGCGAGAGTTTTGCTTCCTTCTTTTTAAATTTCTTTTCAAATATTATCAAGCCCTCGACGACTCTCGGAATTTCGGATTTTCTTTTTGGGATTTATGCTTTATTGAAGTTCTTTTTGCATCTTCGGATTAAATAGGAATTTAGTAATTCGGAATTTCTTTTGTCGCGCGATGTTTTTTACTTACGCGCTTCTTTGTGCGGCTGCAACAGAGCTCTGATTAGTCGGCGCCCTTAATCTTGTGAGCAACTGTAATTTTTGGGTGGGCGCCATTGTAACTGTATCTTTCTTCTTGAGCTTCCCACCCTCGCTTTTCCTTCTGTTGTGTCTAGTTAGCCAGCGGGTTGCATGATCGGATCGATGCGTGGAAAGTGGCTACGCCCCCCACGCCGTAGTCTGGCTATGCAGAACGTAGGCACTCCCTCCCCTTCTCTCCTTCCAAGTCCTTGCAATTCCGTGTTCTTTGCGCATGCATGCACGATATAAATTTCGGCAGCTCGACTAGATGGCTCTCTTAGGAAGTTGTGGAAGCTCGGGGCAGCACGATTAGTGAGGGTCGGTTCACGAGCAGAGCAAGAGGTGAGTTGATGTGGAAGTTGGGCGACCCGAAGGGCTGGTGCCAAATGTGCGGGGTTGACGCGTAGGCTACGACGGACTGCAGTGCGAGGGCGAACCTGACGGGCACAGGAGGACTAAGCGGGGTGACAACTTCGTGAGTTGGTGCGTGACGACGGACTGTCCGCATCAGAGAGAGAGAGAGAGAGAGAGAGAGAGAGAGAGAGAGAGAGAGAGAGAGA